AATAATATTGCCGATGCAATGGATAAAATAAACATGGGGTGCAATTTGTCTTATTCTTTGTCAATCACCATCCGCTGGGGCCATACTAAGGGGCCCTTTCTTCGGCGGCCTGGCGCGGCGCAGCCTAGGTTCGTCGATGAGCGACGTATACGAAAGAGAAGAGTGAAAGTGAGATGTTGCCATATATCAAGAAAAAATAATTATCAAGTTCATTTAATACTTTTTAATCAATGGTATCTTGATTATAGCGATTAATTGCCAATTCATATTCAATATTTCATCGACCCCCAGAGAGTCCATATAGACCTCGCTGGGAACCCGTGGTTTAGATCGATCACGAATGTGCGCAGATGATAAAGGACGTGATTGGTTTCGAACGTTTTCGCAGTGGGCGTACTTTATATATATATACATTATGCAACGAAGCGTAATGTAGCGCATAAGAGCGACAGAAGTACTTGTTTAAAAGAAACTGCCTGAAGTGTTCAAAATATATAAATTACTTAATTATCACAATATAACGAAACCGATAGAAATACTACGAGAAAGAGTACATCATTTTTCACCACCAGTTATTTTACATTCAATGGACTTAATTATACCAATTTGCCTCCCAAAACAGAAAATTTGTAATTCCGTCAACACGTATAATCAACAGAAATTAAGCCAATGATCAGATCTCACATCCCAAATACACATTTTCACAACACAAGATTATTCAGGTATTAGCGAGAGTATGTCCCATTATTAAACCCGCGAGAACTCTTATAATATTTAACAAGTGTTGTAGTAAATGAAAATAAGATTTTGTAAGTCACTTGGGAACGTAACGCATATTTAATGCGGATGGGAAGGAGGCACGGAACGCCTTCCGGCTATAGCGAAGCCGGTTCCGAAGCCGCTCGACGTAGGTCCCAGCGCTCTGCGGGTGGCGAGGCCCAGCGCTGGCCTGTGCTGGCCTGCGCTGCGTCAAGATTGTTTAGTGGAGTTGGACTTTAGGGCGAGCGGCTCTTTTACAGAGGGGCGCGTACGTGCGCAGGGGGGCGAGGGAGAGGGCGAGGGTGAGCGCCAAGGCTGGGGCTGGCGGGGGCGGGGCGGCGGACGCGAGATACCAAGTTAGCACAAATCAATAACACGGCCCCGGCCCCGCGCGCTCGGCCTACTGCGGCGCGGGCTGCGGCGCGGCGCTGGCTGCGGCGGCGGTGGAGGGGAGGAACTGTGAAGGCGGCGGCGTGGTGGCGGTGGCGTGCGGCGGACGGCTGGCGGCGGCGCGTGCGCGCGGCGGCGGCGGCGTGGCGGGGGGTGGCGGTGGCGGCGGCGGCGGCGGGTGGCGGTGGCGTGGCGGTGGCGGTGGCGGTGGCGGTTGGCGGTGGCGGTGGCGGTGGCGGTGGCGGTGCGCGCGCTGCGGCTGGAAGGAGGCAATGCCAGCGTTGGAGAAGATAAAAAAAATGTTCGTACGATGAGAGCCAATTTGG